TATATATGTGTTGCTCTTGCCATCATTATTAATTCTTCTACTGTTTCGATTGATGAATAATGGTGAAGATGAATAACTGTAAAATTTGATGGTGATTGAAAAGGTGAATATTCGGCTCGTAGTTGTTCGTTTTTTTCCATTCGACGAGTAGTTTTCATCCAATTCTTCTGTTGTTCTGGACTTAAGTCGTAGAAGTATGGTGGTGGATTAGACGAATTTCTTGTTAAAGCAGACATAGTAAATCACTGAAATAAATGTATGTTTACTTTGTGTATCGAAAAGATCAAATGATGTATAACTAAAATGAAAATGCGTGATTTATAATTTAATGTCGTAATAAAATAGTTGTTCACTAAGGTCATTGTCTGTAAGGTCAATTTTTCTTTCCTTCGTATATATAGATATTCGATTTTTAATCCATATAAAATTTTCCTTTCCTTTGTGTATAACAGACGGTGCTATTGTTATCCATATATAAAAAATTTTCTTTCCTTTTGATGTGGTCAATATATATATCATGTTGATGTTCAGATAATAGTAAAGTCGTCCAACTGGAACACGTGCATTATTGTTCGTACCGTACAGTATGGCGCCAATACTGTAAAAGTGCCTCGATTATAATGCACTGTGATTGGTGGATGAGTCATCGCGTATAATGTATTGATCCGATGACTAATATGCATGAAATAAAGTCAATTAAAATGAAATTTTTGAGTTCGACAGCCCCTCCTTGTCAGTGAGAAGGTGAAATTCTGTCTCCCCGGCATGGACTGCTGAATCCAGCTCAATTATTTTTTAATTAATTTAATTAATAATTTTATAATATATACGTGCATATATATAAAAAAAATTTTTTTTTTAATATATACATGTGTATATATATAAAAAAATTTTTTCTTTTATCGATGCACACTCTTTACTCGTTATATTATCATATCCCACATCTCTCCCTTTTGGGATGTGTGTTATTGAATTAAATTCCATCGTTCCACCAAGGGAACGATAACATCCATTGTTACTTGTCTTGTTAATGTTAATTTTTTTACATGTTGAACAATGAATGTTTTATGTCCTAATTGTTTAATAATTTTAAATGGACCTTCATATCGTATATCAAATTTATTTCTAACATTTCTTGTTTTTACTAAAACTAAATCATGAATTTTTAATAACAAATCTTGTCTATGTAAATCATATCGGGCCTTATATTGTTGTTGGTTTTTTATAATATTATTTTGAGCTTCATTTACTAATTTTTCAAGATATATTCTAATTTCTTCACTATGCTCTGGATCTTGTGTGAGCGAAATAATTTCTTTTTGTTAATCAAATGGAAGTGTAGCTCGTCTTCCATGCATCATTTCGAATGGTGTTTGTTTTGTTGTTGCATGTATTGATGTATTATAATTAAATGTAACAAATTGTAATACTTCATCCCGGTCTGTACGTCGTTCATTACATAAAGCGGCAATTTTTCCATCCATAGTTGCATTGAATCGTTCAATTTGTCCATTTGTCTGTGGATGATATACGGTCGAATAAAGATGAGTAACTCCAAGATTGTCAAATAATTTGTTCATAATTTGAGAAGTAAAATGAGTACCATTATCAGTTAAAATACATGTTGGAGCACCATATTTTAATATAACATCATTTATAAGAAATTTCACTGCTGTTGTTGCTGAGCAATCTCGAACAGCTTTTGTGATAACAAATTTTGATAATACATCTGTTAGAGATATAATGTATCTATTTCCTTTTTTTGATGTTGGAGTTATTGGACCATGAAAGTCCATACTTAATAATTTCCATATTCCTTCCGGTGGTGGTATTGGTTTTAATTTTCCTGGTAATTTTTGACGACGATAATTATTTTGTGCACATGGTAAACATGAATTAATATGATTTCTAATATCAGCTATCATTGTTGGCCAGTAATAACGTTCTTGAATTTTCCTTACTGTTTTATCACGTCCAAAATGAGCTCCATTAGCAGGTGTATCATGATAAATTTTTAATATATCACCACGTATTCGTCCTGCTGGAACATATGGTACAGATAGAAGTGGTAGTTGTTGTTTTTTAAATAATATTCCATCTTCAATAAAATAATGTTTTTTATTCTTAATATTCTTTTTTATTTCTTGAATTGTTTTATCTTCTTCTTGACATTTTCGTAAGTCATCCATATCAAATGGGGTGATCTTATTTGGATTTTCATCTGATGGTTTGATTATCAGTTCTTCATCAGTCGCTGCTTTCCCTTGTGGGATGAGCTCATTAATTTTTCCATCCGTCGGTTTAATAGATGGTGTTGCCGTTGCTTGTTGTTGTAATTTGGCTTGAGCTCTAGTAATTGCTGTTGTTATTTTTAATGGAATCAAATTATCATTTAATGATGAAAATGATAAATCTGTTTGTGTTGATGTTGATTCATATTGAGTTCGTTCTTCAATATCTTCTTCAGCTATTTCGACTGGTGATCTTGAAAGATAATCTGCCATATGGTTTTTCTTGCCTTGAATATGTTTCACCTTAAATCGATATTCAGCTAATTTTAATCGCCATCGTTCACATCTTTTATTTAATTGTTCTTTGTTTACAAAATGAATTAATGGTTCATGGTCGGTTTCTAATATAAATTCATGTCCACGAAGATATTTGTCCCATTTTTCTATTGTTTGTACTATTGCATAACATTCTTGTTCAATTGTTGGCCAATTAATTTGTGTTTTTGTTAATTTCTTTGACATATATGCTAATGGTCGATCACCATTGGGAGTAATTTGTAATAGAACAGCACCAATTCCATCTACAGAAGCATCAGTTTGTAATTTAAATACTAATGTATCATCAGGTAAATCAAGAATAAGATCAGTTGTTAATATTTCCTTGAGTTGGTGGAATGCCGTTCTAGCTTCAGCAGATAATTCAAATTTTAATTTTTTATTATTCTTTTGTTGTTGTACTGTTGCTGGAGAATATTTATGTAATGGTGCAGCGATGGTGGAAAATTTTGGAATAAATTTTCGGTAATATTCTGCTGCTTTGACGAATCTAAATGCTTCTTCAGCTGATGTTGGTTCACGTGTTGCAGTCAAACCACGAATGTTGTCTGGATCAGGTTTAATAGTACCTGCTTTAATTAAATGTCCAAGAAATAATATTTCTGTTCTTGCAACTTCGCATTTATCAACATTTAATTTAAAATTTGCTTCTTGTAATAATAAACACACTTCTTCAATATGTTTTAAATGTTCATTAAAATTTTGTGAATAAATAATAATATCATCGATATAGGCGAGTACATGCTTCCATCTGTTTGGACCTAATATTTGATTAACAATACGTTGAAATGTTGGTGGTCCATTAGTAAGACCTTGTGGTAATACTTTAAATTGAAAATGTCCATCTCGAGTTGAAAATGCTGTTTTTGGTCGATCTAATTTGTCTAATGGTACTTGAAAATATCCAGCTTTAAAATCAAATTTCGTAAAATATGTTGCTTTTGTTAATTGGTCATAAATATCATCAATTCTTGATAGAGGAAAAGCATCTTTTGTTGTAATTTGATTCAAACGACGATAATCGACACAAAATCTTGTTGTTCCATCTTTCTTTTTTACTAAAACGACAGGTGAAGACCATGGTGATGTTGAATGTTCAATAATTCCATTTTTTAATAATTTATCTATTTCTTTTCTTAATGTTTCTTGATCTTTGTTTGATTTTCTATATGGTGGAGTATGAACAGGACGGTGTGTACCAGTATCAATAGCATTTTTTAAAATTATATCAATTTTTGATGGTTCACTAATGTCGAATAATTTTCCATATTTCCATAAAATTTTTAAAATTTGTTCTCGTTGTTTATCATCGCTAATATGTTCAGTTAATTTATTTATTTGCTGTCTTATTTCTTCAGGATAACATTGATTTCTAAGATGCTTAAATAATTCATTGCCAGTATCAAAATGTTGATAACATTTACGACATGGATGTTGTTTTCCATGTGATGGTATAGTTGGTATGTTGTTACCATTTAATTTATTTGATTTATTCGCTCCTTTCCCTTCAGGAATGAGCTCTTTACACGCTTCTCCTTCCGGAATGCGTTCTATCAAATAATTTGATGGTATGGTAACACCAATTGTAGAAGATAATTGTGTCACTATACCTAATTTGGTTCCTTCGGAAAGTGTTTGTTGTCGATTCGTTGCATTAATTATACTAATTTTTATTCGTCTATTTTCAATGTTCAGTAATGCAGTTGCAGTAAATAATGCTTTATTTTTTAATCGAGGATTTGGTTCAAATAATACATCTATCATATTGTTATGTTGAACTTGTGCTTCTACTATTTTTTCTGAAAAAGGAGGAAGAGTAATATGATTAATAAGAGTAACAGGATAATTTAAAAGAGGTGGTTTTACAAAAGGAGTTGATACTTCTTTACCTCGACTTCGGATCATAATTCGTTGTTCAGGTGTAAGAATATAAACATTGTTTGATTGGATCCAATCACTACCTAATATTAAATTTGTAACAAGATTTGTTGTAACATCAGCAATAATTGTTGTTTTTATTCCATTAACATTTATTTCTAAAGGTATTTCACCAATAATATTTAATGTTGAGCAATTTGCAGATAAATGATTCATTGTTTTTGGTATTAATTTTTCATGTGGTATATCATTTAATAAGTGTTGATGTATAATAGTGATGGCCGATCCGATATCGATAAGTGCTGTTTGTGGAGTGTTGTTGCATAAAATTTTGACAAAAATAGGATTAAATGCTGTTGTGGTTGATGACTGTTTTGCTCCACAGGGATCGTCGCCATCATCCGATCCCTTTATTCGAAAAAATGTTGTTGAGGACAACCACGTATTTGATGATTTGATTGTCCACATTTAAAACAGCCGTTGTTCTTCTTATAAAAACATTTTATTGTTGCATGATTGTTTTTGTTGCAAATTAAACATGGATTGGATTTTTGAATTTTATTTTCTGGATAATTTTCTCGATGTTGTTGACGATTTGTAAACTTATTTGGTTTTGAGTGTGTTCGATTGTTCGTTAATGATGGTAGCTGTTGATGTTGTTGTTTGTAGTAATGACGTGATGTAGAGGGCTGTTGACTCGACAATTGAAAATTCGATGGTGT